GGTTTGCAGAAGTTCCTCAGCAAACGGCACTGGTGCATCGCCTATGATCCCAGCTTCACTGCCGCGCCGACCACCCCTGAGCGCATGGCCTGAGATAGACTCAGCTTTTTCGTAGAAAACAGCTGATTTCCCTTTTGTCCTGTTGCAACAGCCAAACTCAGGACACGGGTTCAGCATGGTTGATACATGCATGGCATGTGGCTCAGGGGGCCCCCTTTTGCTCACCCAGGCAGAGCCTAGGCTACATTCGCTAGGAGCCATAGAGGCCCTCGCACCGAGTGGAAAACAGTCGCCAGCCGACCTGACCGAGTGACTTCGTGAACATCACCATCATCGTGCGCATTCACTTTAGGAATTGCTGCACCTTTTATTAAAGCAAAAGATTTCAACATGAGCTTTCATGTTTTTAGAGTTCTCTTTTTTTGCAAGGCGCCCTATAAACATGTGTTCTCAATAGGAGCTTTATCTTCAAGGTTTCATTTGTTTTAAGGGGTTTACTTTTGCCAGGGGTATTATCAAAATCAAACACATGTTCAAAAGGAGCTTTATGTTATTCAAGAGTTTGGTTGTTTCAATGGTTGTTGTTTTTGCCAGGTGGTTTACCAAAAACACAATTTCATCAGGGGCTTTATTTTGTTTCAGGGATTGATTATGTCAATGGTTCTTTCTTATTTGTGCCAGTGGTTTTATATATAACAAAACGCTTCAAAAGGAGCTTTACTTGTCCATGGTGTTTTCAATGTTTCGTCCATTGGCTTTTTTAAAGCCATAAAACAGGTTGGTTATTGTTTGACACGTCCTTTACCCTTTGCCAGAGGCGCTTTCCTTTTGCCAGTGTTTTCTTTAAATTCAACAACTGGTTCAAAAGGAGTTTTCCTTTGTCAATGTATTTAACTGTTTTCAAGGCTTTGGTTTTTGCCAGGCACTTGTTCAAAAGGAGCTTTGTTGTTTAACGGCTTTTACCCTTTACCAGTGGTTGTACAAAGCAAACATCAACAGGAGCTTGTCTTAACAGCGTTTGCCTTTCGCCAGGAGATTTATAACAATGTAATACACTTGTTCAAAAGCAGCTTTTTGCTTGCAGCTTTTACATTTTGCCAAGGGCTTGATAAACAAACGAACGAACAAACGGGGGCTTTATTCGTTCAGCAGCTTTTTCCATTTGCCAGAGGTTTGTTGAACATAAACACATTTTTCAACAGGAGCTTAATTTGTTCAACAGCTTTTACCTTTTGCCAAGGGCTTTTTAAAATTAGAAAACAACAGGAGCTTTAGGTTCTCAGCAACCTGTTACATCTTTCCAAAGGTTTAAAAAGGTTACACTCGGTTTCAAAAGGAGCCCTGTTTTCTCAACAGCGTTTACCCTTTGCCAGGGGTTTGATGAAATTGAAACTTGTTCAAAAGAAGCTTTATTGTTTCAGCTGCGCTTACCTGTTGCCAGGGCAAATACCAAAAGAAGCTTTATTGCTCAACAGCGTTTACCTTTGGCCAGGGGTTTTACAGAGATAGCAAGCATGGAAGGAGTTATTTTCAATAACGTTTGTCTTTCTTGCCAGGGGCTTGTAAATAAAAAGCACATCAAACGAGTTTTTCATCAACAATGTCTGCCTATTACCAGGGGTTTTATAAAAACAACTCTTCCAGAAGGAACTTTTGAATTTTCAACAGCGTTTACATTTTGCCAAGGGTTACACTTTGTCAAAAAGAGCTTTATTTCAACAGCCTGTGAACACAATGCAAAGCGAGCTGTTTCAACAACGTCTGCCTTTTACCATGGGCATTTTCAAACTTTTTCAAAAGGAGGAGCTTTGTTTGTTCAACTATTTGTTCAGCAGCTTTTGCCAGTGGGTGTAACCCTGTGTTTTTTTCAAAATGTGCTCTTTTTTCAACAGCCTTTGGCTTTTTTGCCAGGGGCTTTGTGAAAATACAAAGCTGGTTCAAAAAGACCTTCTTTTTTTCAACATCTTTTGCATTTTGCCCGGGGCTTTATAAAAAAAAACAACTTGTGCAATGGAGCTTTATTATTGAACGGTCTTTGTCTTTCTTCTAGGGTTTTGCGATAATAAGCAAATCCTTCTCAAAAGGAGTGTTTGGCGCAATGGCCTTCATCGTTTTTCGCCGGGGGATGGAAAATAACATTTTCGGAGGGAGCTTTTTTCGACGGCCCTCATCTTGTTTGTCAGGGGCTTGTTGGAAATGAGCACCTTTTCAAAAGGAGCATTACTTTTGCAACAGCTTTCACCTTTTGCCAGGCGCTTTATTAAAACAACTTGCTCAGAAGGAGCTTTTCTTCTACGGCCTTTATTGTTGTTCCAAGCAATTCGTAACAATAAACAACCTTTCAAAAGGAGAGCTTTAGTGTTCAACGGCCTTTTCATGTTTTGTAAACCAACAAGTAACGTGTTTGTTCAAAAAGAGCTTGGGTTCAACAGCCTTTACTGCACCATTTGCCAGGGGGTGTACAAAAATACAGCAACTTTGTCAAAAGGAGTTTGTTTCTTTCGACAGCCTTTATCTCTTTTGTCAGGGGTTTGGTAAAAATACAGAACTTTTCAACACGCGCTTCACTCGAACGCAAAACTAGCACGCCATCTGTAGGAGCTTTCCTGCCACTCCAGTTACGTTCACTTGGAATCAACGAGTTTGTTTTTGGCAATTTTTTTTTAAAAAAAAGGGAAACTTGTTCAAGAGGAGCTTTGTTTCCCCAGCGTTTAAATTTTTGCCAAGGGTTGCAAAAAGCAAAAACGCTTCAAAGGGTGGGCCCTCTTTCCAACTGCTTTGAGCAATTACTCGCACACCCGCGAGATTAAAACCCTGCCCGCAGGTTTTGAAATTTAGCAGCGCCAGCTGGCCGTCCACCCGGTCTGAAGCTGCAGACCTCGTTCCAGCAAAGTAGCCTCTATGGAGTTGCTCCAGCAGCAGCTGCACCACCTGCACCGCCATCACCAACCACACATGCCAAGCATTGTTGCCCGCGTCATCATGTTTTTATTCAACTGTGGCCACGCACTTGCCATGACCAGCGCTGGCTGAATAAGTTCGTCCATTTGGCCAGCGGGAGAGACCAGAGAGGCTGCCAGGTAGTGCTCGTGTTGCCATGGCCATCTGGCTTGGACGCAGGGGTGGCTCCTGCACAGCCTTGCGTGTCCAACCTGTCTGTTGGCTAGTAGCCATGTGATTGTTGTCACGCGTCGCGGTGTGTGTGTGTGTCATGCTAAACTAGCTAGGCCTAGAAGTTAGAACATAACACCTAGATTGAGCATGAGCTACAGGAAACGTGGAAGTCCACTTCTTTCAGAGCGCTGGGCAGACAATATGCGAACACGACAAAAAATAGAAACATGAAATGTATAAAGATGCGTCAACCACTAGAATGTGCTTGCACGAGCAGACAGTAACATGGATGTACACCCCATGGATCTAGCCACAAACATGCAGTTGTTGACGCGTGTGTGCGTTGTGTGTGGTTGTGCGTGTATTCGTGTTTGTGCGTTGGCCTCTTGGCTTGTTGGAGTGTTGGCGACTTGGCAAGTTGGCATGTTTTGTGCGTTGGTGCGTTGGTGCGTTGGTGTGTGTGTGTGTTTGCGCGACTGCGTGTCTGTGTCTGTGTGTCTGCGCGTTTGCAGGTTGTGCGTTGGTGCGCTTGTGCATTTGGATGTTTGCGCGTCTGTGTGTTTGTGCGTCTGTGTGTCTGATTTTGCGCCCGTTTGCGTTTTTGTGTTTGTGTGTTTGTTGGTGCGTGTGTCCTTGTGCGCTGGTGCGCTCGTGTGTTCGTGCGACTGTGTGCTCGTGTAGTTGCACGCGCGTGTGTTCGCACGTTCGTGTTGCGCGCGCGTTCGCGTGTTCGCGCGCTCGTGCGTTTCCGCGTTCTTGCGTTCGTGCGTTTGTGCGTTGGCCTCTTGGCGCGTTGGCGTCCGTTTTGGGGGCGTGTGTTTGTGTGCGTGTGCGGAGCGTCAGCTCATCCCTGACACCGCTAATACAAGCACTTGGACCGGGCTTTCTGACGCTACTTGGTCCAACGAAGCTTTTGAATTTGGAGAGGGAAGCATCCACTGGCCATGGGTGTGTAGCTGCTGATGTTGCGCAAAGTCTATATGGCCCCCCCCTCAGCAGGGATTGTTTCTGTGTCTCTCCTGCTCAAAATAAGTAGATGGAAACCACAATCACTCGAGTTTTGCACAGTCGCATCACTCGACTTGTTCACTTGGGTGCGCCAGCTATCTAAGTGTGTGGCGCACGTGCGGGAGTCGCAAATGTGTTTGCGCAAGGGCGTGCACGAGCGCGCGCCTGTGTGCTGGCACAAGTGTAGATGATGCGTGTGTGGCGCGCGCCTAAGCTGCGTGTACATTGACATGCGCGTGCGCGCGTGTGTTTTGAACGCCAAGCAAACTCATCAAGTGGACTCGCAGCGGGACAAACAAACGAGCTGAATAACCGTGTTGGAACAAAGCCCCTGCTGCATACCCAAAAAACGCCAAAGTGAGCAGCGTTCGGCTAGCTGGCAAACACGCGACAGCGTGACAGTTGCTGGGCGATCATGAGTTCAACGATTCTTCAGGCGCGCAGGGACCTTCACTTCTGGTTCGCGTTGCTAGGCTCCGCGCCAGGTACCTGGAAGCACGCTCGCGTTGCAAAGGCCACTTGGCGCTGCACTGCGATAACCAACTTCTCAAAGGCACGGTGGATAAAGGCGACTCACGCCCACATGTGCGAGCATCGAACAGACTTAGCAAGTGGGCTTGACACGGCACCGAAAATTAACCAACTGGCACAATTTACTCTTGAGACGTGTCTGGCTGACACGTGTCTGGCTTTAGGGCCCATTTTTAGGCAACACTTGCTGGCAGCAAGACTCCGCTGTCCCTTGATTCATGGGTTGGCCACCTGGATTGCACTCGTAGCAAACACCCGGCTATCTAAACGGCACCCCCTCCATAAGGCTGGGATCTTTCAGGCTGGGCTTTCTGCTCACATGAGGTCTGCAAAGGAGTTCAGGTCGCACCAGATTTGGAGCACTGCTTTGTCGGGACAGCGGCTGGCGATCCTTACAAGTTGGCTGAGCAACCCACCCGCTCCCGAGATATGAGGTCATCCAACTCGCCATTGTAAAGGAACGCTTGCCTACTCACAGGACCGTTCCGAATCTACAAGTTCATGGAACGAATCAAGGCCAAGACGACTCTCCCAGCACATGCAAAGCGTAAGTTCTGCAGCTCACGCCAGGGATGGAAAGTCGAAGGTTCCCATCAGGAAAGTGAAGGATTGCCAGTACTAGCAATACAACCGGCAACCGCTCAGGATCTATTTCTGGGCCCCCGTTCATCCCTACACACCCCCGCGCCCCCATGAATGCTTCACTGTCGAATGAAAGCTATGATTTGTTCTGCGCGTGTTGTATGCGTGTAGGGGTGTGAGTTGCAAATCGCCCCCTTGTGATTTAGTCAACAAGGCCTTTTTACCCTCCAAGCTCCCCCCTCGCAGCACGAGAGAAGCAATGCTTCAATCACGCCTTTGTCGCCCACGAAGAACTCCCATCCAGACCCTTGGCGTCGGCGCGGGCACCCGGTGGACAAGGAAAGCAGCCATGAACAAAGCACATGAGGAATGCAACTACGCCCTACCAAAATCAGTCAAGTCTTTCGTGTCAGTGGCGCATTCAGTAATCTCACTCCGTATCATCAAACCAGCTTCATTCCTGCCCCACCCCCCAAGTCAAACAAGGTTTAGGCCTAATCAGGCACATTGTTGGAGCTCCAAGCGATGGTCCGCTGGACAAGAAGGATTTGTGTTGATGCCGAACTCAGGTCACTGCTAAGCCTATTTTCCTACTGCCACAACCACGACCATCCAGGGTTGCACACAGCTACAAATCGGTGAACTCTTCTGCTGGCACGGCGCCCCTCGCCCACATGTCGGCATGTCCTCTTGCAGACCTACTAGCCTTGTTCAACCTGCACACATTCCCCTGCCACCAGGATTCCCCTGCCCCGCAGTAGGGCGAACTTGCTTGTCAAACGTTTGACTTATGACGCCTTGCTTCTCAAACGCACTCCAGCTTGTCACAGGCATCTGCAAGCACCCGTCGATATTCTCCCTTTGAGTGACGGTGAGCACGCCTTGTAGCGGCTGCCCACGCGTCGAAACCCCCGACGTTCCACTCATTGATGGGGAACGTCGCGTCCAGAGCCTCCGTCCGCATCCGCCTCTCCTTGGAACGTTCTCATCATCCTCCGCCCCTCGTTCGCGTCACCGTCCGAACCCTTGCGTAGGCCCAAGCCTTCACCAGTGGAGGATTTGTTTGTGCGGGCCCTCATCCGCTCCTGCCGCACTCTGAACCAATCTGCATCTTGCGCAAGTAAGACGTCCTTGTCGTCCACCATGCCCAAGCATTACTTCTGCTGGCACTCGTGGGCGGGGCGTGTGAAGAGTCAGAGCAGTTTGAGGCCCGCTTGTCAAAAATCAGCATCTTCACACATTGCCTCGCTCACCTCCCTGGATGTCTCCGTTACTCACCCGTCTCCTCCGCTCGCCTCGCTCCACTGATCTTCGCCGACAAGCAACATCACGAGCCAAGCCTATTTTCCTACTGCCACGGCTCGCCTACCCCAAATCTTCACAGATTGGTACGTTGGCATGTTTCGAATGGGGGGAACCCCAAAAAAGATGCTCTTTCTTCTCCGATTGAAACAGCCCCGAAAAGAGCAGCCTCAAAAGAAGACACCCCCACATCATTTTCGTCCGGAAAGGCGCTTGGCGCCTTGTTCTATGGGGTTAACAAGTAGCCAGCCAGTGTCACGTAGTAAGGCCATTCTGCGCAGCTCAGTTGCTTGACTTTGGTTGGGGAAAAGTTCTGCCCGTTCTGGAGTTCAGTTGGATGTTGGAATGGTCTAGGGTCAAGCGCTGGTTTCGTTTTGCAACCTTGTACAGGTCAGTCAGGGCTGAGGCCTGCCAGTTTCAGATGCCAGCTTACTGTTGCAAAGCTCCAGCGCCAGTGGGCAAAAAACAAGTCTGACAAGAAGCCCAACAGCACAATCGCTGCCATGCTGGTGACAAGCTCAAGGCCCAACCCTTCTTTAAAAAAACTCAAAAAGTTCAAGGCGCTACACAACATGCCTGCCTGTTCTGCGCGAGGCATCCTACCACTCCGGATCGATCGTGCCCTTGTTAGACTAAAGATCACTGACAGTCCTTGTTTCCTTCCTTGTTCCCCAGCCTTTGCTTCCCCCACGAAAATTGCAAGTTTGCGCCGCCCCTTTTCTATGTTGCGCAGAATTGTCTCGCCAGGTGTCCACATGCAGGAAGTTCCGTAAGGGGCTGATATTGCCACAAGCTGGTTGGCCCATTGCATGGGTCAGTCAGGCCAAACCGTTTTGCTTGGGCGCTTCACACCCTCCCAGATTTCAACTCAGGGCCCACCACACCATGGACCCCAGCTTTTCTGCGTGGCGCAGAAGAGGGCCTGCAGGTCAACTTGGCTAGGAGAAGCAAGGGTGTTCGGCGTTTGGGGGTTTTGCTTGTTCCAAGGTAAAGTGCGAGGAAATCAGCGAATGGTTTTAAGTTGGATTGGCTTTGTCCACAAGGAGAGCAGGGTGTCGTGAGGTCCGCTGCGCTTTGAAGTCCGCCCGACAACTTCCATGTTGGTAGGCATGAATGCGTTCCGCCCAGCGCATGGTTTTTCAAGTGAGGGGAACACCGTCAACTGGCCAGACTTACACTAGGAAATGCCAGCGTGCACGCGTTGAATGTCTGGGCCCGCTTGACACTTGTCCATGCCATGTCTCGTGTCTCATAGCACAACAGAAGCAGACTGAAAAACAACTGCCAGCAACCTGTGTTTCAAGCAGAGAGTCTCTTCTTCAACACACGCAACCCATCGAAGTGTTTTCTGTCTGCGTTCCTGCGTTGACAAAGGCAGCGCGGCGCATCTCTACCAACTGGGAGCAGCTGCCCTTAAAATGGCCGACATCCTTTACAAGAAACATGAGGCACATGTAGGTGGATACGACCCTCAACTGCACAAGAGTGGGAACCGTGAGTCAACGCCACAGGGTCTGAAGTGTGCTGCGCAAGACATCTCTGTCTTGGGGTCTTGCAGGCCCCGCCAAAATGTTCATGCGAAGATGAAAGCGGGGGTTCCACACGGGATTTACGAAGGGGCCGAGAGTTGCGCACATTTGTTGCAACCACCCAACTGCTTCAGGGGTCGCAGCAATGGATGGAAAAACACGCAACAAAAAGCAAACACTTCTAACATGAAAAGCAAAAGCAAACAAACAGCCAGCCCCACACAACTCTGCGCCACATCTCTGCGAAATCTGTCTAGGCGCCACCCATGCAACTTCTTACTTCTTGCCATCTTCCTCTACAATCTCTCTATGGACCTTTTTGCAGACTCCAGTAAATCATGAACTGCCTTAAGCGTAGAACCATCTCCGGTTGGCCTGGGCACGCTCGAATGCGCCATCGACCTGACCAGCGCCCTTTGTCCACATCTTTGGTAGGAGGCACCCTAGCTTGTCTGAGAGTTTTCATGAGAGGCACCAACTTGCGATGAGGGCAAAGAACCCGGACACAACTCGGGGGAGCTGTGCTTGATGACCAGGTTGAAGGACGTGACAGGTGTATGAAAGTAATATCTTGAACCATACGGCCACTCAGCACGTATGGTTGTAGACACAACAACACGTGAACTAAACACACCCCCCTCATCCAATGTCTGGACAAGAGAAAGGGCGTGACAGTTGAGTTCACGATGAAAGGAACCAACCAAAACGCCAACTCAGAGATGATCCAAACGGCATCACCTGGGCCCCAATTAAAATCCCGCCACCGCCCCGAATTAACGGGGCGACAGGATTATTTGACGGATGGGCCATATAGTGCGCAAAGGCATGAACGCCCTCTCGCGCCGTTCAGGTGTTGTGATAAGGCGGTAGCAGTGGGAGGGGGGGGGACCTCTGAAAGCTCACCGCGACATGGAAAAATGACAACCGAAGTGACGAGTCGATAGAAGGTATACCGAAATTGACGGAGTGACGGCTACGGCCGACCAACACTCTCTGCGCGGCCAAAATCTCGTTCGAATCCGTCATGTTGACCATCACCAGCGCGCACGGCCGCGGTCCGGGAAAGACATGCAGAGCAATGGAGACCATCACCCTCAGCGCTCGCGCAGGTAATCCGGCTGTTGTCGGCGGCCCCCACGGCGGCGGTCGCGCTCATCGGCCGATCGCGGCGATCGCCGCCGGGGCGTCGCGCCCGCGGCGATCATCCCTGCCGGCCTCGCGCCTGTCAGCAGGCTCGTCGTGCGGAGGACGTTGCCTCCGGCCATCGCGACCCTCGTCCGCCCCTGTCGTCTCTGTGACGAGGCGGGCCGTGAGCGTCACGCGCACCTTTACCGGGTCGCTGTCCACCGCGGCCCTTGCCACCACCACGAGGGCCACGACGGTCGTCTCCACAATCATCGTGCGCACCATGTGAACCATCATCAGCGTGCCCCAACCGCAGCGCCTCTCAACCACGTGCAGCGCGAAGAACGCCTGGCGGAAGGTCCCACTCCTTGTCGTTGTCATCCCGAGGGTCAGTAAAAGGGGGAACGATGCCGATTGCGGGGGTATGACAGACCCCACAAAGTCAACGCGGCTTCCAGGCCTGGGACGGGATCTTTTCAGACGGGTCATAGCCGGGCGTTTCCTCATCTTTGACACTGTACCGCCGAGGCGGCGCGACGGTGCTGGTACGACGTGCAGAAACCGCTCCTATTGGGGTTAAATTGGCAGTCGCGAGGCGATACTTGGAGTCCCCTTTTTTTGAAGAGCAGCCTCCAGTCTGAAGAAGACGGCCTCAACATCGGTCGCATGCCTGCTCAGGAGCATGAATTGCGCGTCGACGGTGGAGTCACGCATCAGTGCGGCGCACATGGCGACGACCGCCGCCCATGTCGCCGGTCGGCATAGAAGCGACCCGACGGGGTTCTCCGGACACGGCTGATAGAACACCCTGACGCGCTCAATGTTCTTGGCGCCTCGTTCTGCTTCTCGCAGTAGCATTTCCTTGCATCATCAGGAAGGCTAGCGAGGAAGTCCGAACTGCACGTCCTATGATGGAACAGTCCTCCTTGATGTATGCACACCGCCAGTAGCCAATCGCGATGTTTTCGCGTGAGGCAAACGTTCCTTGGCGCGCGATGCGCGTTCCGCCATTCTCCAAGGCGAAGCGACGAGCGTCGATCGCGAGAACCACGTAACGGGGTCACCTCTGTGGCGTCTACCCGACGTCTGAATCTCGGTCACGTTGCTGTCAGTGATTCGGTCCACCGTGTCGGTGAGCAATCTCCATGGTCGCGGATGCGCGTAGACCCCAACAAGCGCCCGAAGCGCGAATCTCAAGGGATCTGACCGATCCAGGAAACAGGACAAGATTCTTGTCTCGAAGCATCCGCGCAGAACAGGGAGTTCGCCAGCAGGCCAAGTGAATGTGTAGCCTTGCTCCACGCAACGCTTGCAAATGGAGATGAGGGATGGCGTATTCTGAAC